TTCTATGGTAGACCACCCTCTCTCCAAAACTTGATTTGGACTCTACTGCCAAATCTATACCAAAATCAAGGTTGGACCATAACTTTATCCAATTCTAGATTAGGCTAGATGGCTAATGGACTCCCAATCTATCCATCTCTAGATAGTGGCATTACTAGTGAGAAAGGAAATCCAATGATTCGCAAGAACAACATACCTTTCAAGTTGTTTTTGTGTGGGGGGGGATAAAGAAGGATTGTTTTGTGTGTTCAAAAGAACTCAGAAAATGGTAGCTAAAAAAGGATAACATGTAAATTTGGTGAATGAAAAATTCTTTTACAAAATTTCTGAATCTCCAGAACATGCATATAGGAGTTATTTACCATGTTTGCATTTGATCTTCTCTAATTGATGATTATGATACGAGGAAAAGATCTTGAACAGTAACAAGGTTGAATTTACTAATCTACATGATACTTTATTTCTCTTTTCAATAGCAACATATAGTTTGGGAACTTAGATCTTGATTTGTCCAAAAAAGGGAAAAATGTATTGAAATGGTTTTAGGTAAAACTTGGAAGGTTAGATGAGAAAAAAAAATGAAAATAAAGGTTAGATTAGAAATTCTAGCATTTATTAATAGTCAAAATTTGATGTGGCATGAGGGGACTAAAGTGCAACAAAATATAATAAGGGAGAAGTGCATATTAGTCAAGCAGTAGAGGGTTTAGTGCATTTAACTTTAAAGGTAGTCATTTCAGTTTCTATATAACTCGCATAAAGAGTAATATTTGAAATTTAACCAAAAGTTTTTATTAAAAGATAGATAAATTATCCTAAAGTTATTCAACTAAAAAGTATTTTTGCAAACATTCGAGTTAAGCACATATTGCATTTTCAGAATATGTAGTTTTTGATTAAACAACCAAAATCACATATCAAATAAAAAGTCATAAACTAGTAATACAATACTAAAAAATGATAAATTTAAAGAAAATACTTTTAAGAATTAAAAAATGCCACAACGTAGAAATAATTGTGTGTATATAATTAGACAAGTGAGTTCAAATGGAGAGATCAATAATCAAAGCGTCAGTAGAATATAAAAAACTGTTGAGAGAGTAAATTAAGGCCAATAAATGTTAGTTACTTGATATTGAGTTAATCAAAGACAATGACGTATTCTAGTTCGATTTTTCCATTCAATGAGATTAAAAGCCAAATTCACAATTAGGCATCCATTATTGAAGAGGCTGCTATCAATGTTGTCAAACTCATCAATTGGCCTAATAAATCTATTCTAATATTGGAAAAATTTTGAAGATATTTATCGACTACTTTACATGTACCTAAATTAGGAAGCTACTTGAGTTGCTAGACATTTTAATTCTCTTACTCGTATTTTAGCTAGTAATGTTTCTAGATGATCTCTGTGGATATATGATCCTCCATAATTTGTAATTTTCACTATTAATGCAGATCTCCATTTGAATTAATAAAATTCTGTATACTTTTCTTTTTTCCTTTAAAGAATTGCCTTTAAAAAAATTGTGCTAGTGACCTCAAATCGATTTTTTCACTCTTAGCTAACAAGAAGAAAGAAAAGATTAGGGAAATATTTTCTCTATATTTTACATGATAGTTACAATGTTATAAGACCTATTTATAGGTTTACAGTAACATAAGAAACAATTAACCTTAATCTATTCTAATCTATCATTCTCTAATTTCCAATTGATATACACATTTCAAAAAGAGATATTTATAACAACTCACTCCAACATTCCCCCTCATGTTAATGTATAGATATCATGTATGCCCAGCTTGTTTCATGAAGTGCCAATCAACCTCTACATGTTTAATCTGATCATGTTGAATTAGATTCTGAGAAATGTCAATGGCTTTTTCGTTGTGACAAAACAAATCTATTCTGGAATTCAGAGCACGACTGATATCGATTAGTACAACTTCTTAAGCCACTGCCTTTTGTCTCTTACTTCTCGATGTAACCAAATTGCCTCTAACATAGCAAATGATGCTCAAATATAAGCTTTCAATAAAAATAATATGGTTGATTTACTAAACTAGTGAGCGTTTCTAGGTCTAGTTGGGGACTGAATCGGAGTTACCTTCTATCTAGTTGGTGCCGGTTTCTCGAAGCTTTAACTTTTAGTTCGAACAGACCTCAAGGCCTGCGCTATGCATTCATCAAGCTAGTTTCACTTCGGGCTGTTCCTCCTAAGCTTAAAGTTGAACCAATTCACCGATTTTCCTTCTCAAACCCATTTTAACTCAAATCTAAGAATTCGTTTAATCCAAAAATCAATAAAAAATAACAATAATGACCCAAAAACTCCTACTAAAACATCCAACCATAAGATTTACTCAATCAAATTAAATCAACAACTCAATAGAAAAGCATACAAGAAATCTAAACCAATGATCCACCCATACCAAAAATCCATTAATTTAATATTTGAACGATGAAAATCATAATAAAAGCTATATAACTTAGATTCACCTTAATTTTAAGGGTTGAATGAGAACTTTTGGCACCCCTCTAGTACTTGGATTGGGTTCCTCAAAGTTCACACCTAGAAATTTGAGGAAAAATGAAGGAGTTAGGGATTAACGAATTCCCACTACAAGACACATTCCTCCAACGCAAATTTTCCTTGTGCACTAAATCCTCATTTTTTTAATTATTTGAATTTCACCTCAAAATTCTTTACTTTTCCTTCAAAACTCCCAAGAATGGACTTTGGTATCCCTGTTTTTATTGGGCTTTTACTTCCTTTCTCTTTCTTTGAATAACGCACTATCAAAATCAAACTAAACTTTAACAATACATGGCCTTAAAAAAAATATCCCATGCTCCACTAAAATTATTAGAGCAACTTTTATCTTTATAAAATAGTCTCGTACATGTGAACAACTTTTCACATGCTACCTCCCTTAAATACTTATCAAATTGCTTCTAATTATAATGCACTATGTTTTCCATATTACTGAGGACATATTTGCATATATTATATCACCACACACAATGCATTTATGTCTTCTAGTTATTAATAAGTAAAAGTATTCATCCAATTTCTTGCATTGAAAAGATATAAAAAGTTAATTTATACATAATGCCTTGGGCAGTGGACTACAAAGAACTTGTCTCAAGCATTTGATAGGATTAGCCAATAACTTTTGAGTGCAAAATAAGGGCCCAAAAAACTTAAAACCAAGTTATTAGTTGCCCATTACCTAAGGTAATATTATGAAATCAATCTTTCCATTCTTTTCAACTTGGAACATGAGGTGTAACACTTGCCCTTGGGATTTGGGGCAGGGACGGTTATCAGACGGACCGTCCTTGAGGTATACGGGGCAGGAGCGGTCCTCAGACCGACCGCTCTTGAACGGTCTCCTCACAATAAAAAACATGAGGTGAGAAATGATCCAAGTCAGCAAGACTTAAGCAGGGGTAAAGACGATGTCGATCTAAATAAAAAATTGTTGACTTCCAAACGGGATCAGACTGAGCAAACGGAAGAGTTGAAATTTTGAAAATCAAGTTGAAATTTTGAATTAGCAACAGAAAACAAAACTAAAGGAAGAGTCTTGGCGTGTTGTTGAAGGTAGCAATTGACAGAAAATTGGGTTGAGAGGCAGGCGGCAAGGTAGAAGCAAACAGAGACGAACCTATATTTTATCCGTAAAACTTAATAGCAGAAGCAGCTGCGCTCTCTGACTGGGTATGAGAGTGTTGTATCCATTTTGAATGCGTGTAAGGCAGGTGGTAAGGTAGAAGCAAACAGAGGAAATTCAGCATCTCACGAAGCCAGATTTTGTCCTTCAACTTAATAGCAGAAGCAGCTGCGCTCTCCGAGTTCGGTGAAACGTAAAGCCTATTAGCAGACCAAGATAACGTGACTGAACCATGTCAGTAACTGTGGCCAATCATTTGTCACCCAAATGTACATCTGTTAAATGAATGATGAAATTAGAGTCACTAAAGACATAATATGAAAATGATAGAAAAATAGTGAAGTTGTACAGTATCTGTGTGTGTGTGTGTACCGTATCTGTGTGTATGTGAGCATTCAGCTTTTCAGTGATGGACTATAATGGGATAGTAGTTATCGGAAGACCCAGGGGTATGTATTCAAGTAAACCGTCGAACGGAATTAGGGAAAGATGAAAGAAACAAAGTCACATTTAACAAGTGAATGAATGTACATCCTATTGTAAATTAGTTACATGTTATAGCCACCGTATTACAATTGATATGAATCATTGTGCATCCAATAGTTGATCCATGCTTATCACGCAATCTTAATTTGCCCTTCTCCTGATCATGCAGTGTGTATAAAATAGAGGTGTAGAGTTGAATGATGTCAAGCAGAGGAAAATACCGAGCTATGTGAATAATAAATGGGTGTATCTGGTGTTGTAAGTAAATTACATGATGTAAGAAATATATTACAATGAGTAGAAAATGCTTGTTTGGCCCTCCAAATATAGAAATAATAGAAAATGCGGAGTTGGCTTAGCCTTATGTCATTAACGAATGACATAAGATCGAGTGAGTTAAGGAACTTAGAACCCAAATATAATTACCAGAGTGGATGTATATACAGTTAAAATAGACTTACATCGAGTGACCAACACATTACAGTCCGTATAACTTAGTGTACATAAAATTGTATTTGTACATAGATAATGCCGTTGTCTTAGAATAAAAGTAAAGTGATGTGATTCATTAATCATATTGATAAGCGTAATAATAGAATTTGGTATACGAGTACTGTGTGATTCATAACACATTATGAATGGTAATATACATGTATGCTGTCGTTTATGTAAATACTATTCATGAAGTGTTGCAAATTAGGGTGTTTGATGCATAATTGGTAGGAGTAGAAGTACTGGATTGCAGCAAATTGGCAAAAGATGGGACCCCTGAATTAGGAATGGAGTTCAACAGTGAAGAGGATGCATACAAGTTTTACAACTAATATGCCTTTAAAATGAGTTTTAGTATACGCAAAGATTATCTAAATAAAAACAAAGACGCCGTGACCACGTTTAGGAGATGTAGTTACTTCAAGGAAGATGTGAAACGCAAGTACGAAGGTGATGTGATGCCAAAAAGGATACGAGCACTGACGAAAACAGGGTGTGAAACTAAAATAGTTATCGTGTTGCTTAGAGGGATAATGAAATACCGTGTGCATGAACTTGTCTTAGACCATAACCATGAGTTGCACATTACTCAATGTTCGCACATGATGCCATCACAAAGAAAAGTGAGTGAGGCTCAAGGATTCCAAACTGAAATAAATGAGGATGTTGGGATTTTATTGAAACAGAGCCATGAACTTATGGAAAAGGAGGTAGATGGGATGGGTAATGTCGGATATACTCGGGATGATCTTAAACGATAACTTCGAACGAGACGGGAAAGAAGCTTGAAATATGGAGAAACAGGTAGCACGCTGAATTATTTTCAAGAGCAAACACTCGAGAATCAATCATTTTTTTATGCCGTACAGATGGACTGTGAAGAGCAGATAACGAATATCTTTTGGGATGATGCAAGAATGTTAATTGACTACAACTTTTTTGGAGACGTAGTCATATTCGACGCAACCTACAAAACAAATAAAGAATACCTGCCACTTGGAGTATTTGTGGGTTTTAACCAATATAGGCAAATTGTGATATTCGGTGTTGCCCTTATGTATGATGAGACGATAGATTCTTTCAAATGGGTGTTTGGTACATTTCTAGAAATAATGTGCGGAAAGCGTTTAAGTGCCATACTAACCAACCAGGATCACGCCATGGCAACCGCTCTTTCACTTGTCATGCCCCAAATGTTTCACGGTCTATGTACGTTTCACATAAGGCGTAATTTTATGAATCATCTTGACAATCACTACAAGGAAAATAATGACCTTCCATACATGTTTGTTGCCTGCATGTATGAGATTGAAGAAGTGAAATAATTCAACAGGGTCTGGGAGGTGATGGTGAAGAAACACAATCTTGAAAATAATGAATGGCTTACCGGACTGTATCAAATTCATGATAAATGGCCAAGGTGCATGATGAAAGAAAGATGGACCGCGGGAATGCGAAGTGCCCAACTTAGCGAAAGCCTAAATACAACAATTAAAATCATTTGAAACTAGATCACGACCTTATGCAATTTTTTAGACATTTCAATCGAGTGGTTGATGATAAGAGACATAATGAACTCATTGCAGAATATGAAATGAGGCAAAAGCTGCCCATGATAGAGTTGAGACAAACACCTATGCTTGTGCATGCAGCAGAGACGTATTCACCAACCGTATTTGTTGCTTTCCAAAATAAATATGGCGAGTCAACAGTTATGGCTATATTGAGACAACAAGATGCAGGGATGTTTGTGGAGTTTGCGGTCATGAGGTATGATGGAGGACCTGAAAGAATAGTGGTATTCAATTGGAATGAAATTTTGTGTTGAACATTTGGGGTACATACTGCTAAAATTTTTTTACATAATGATATACATGACATCTCTTTAAAAATTTAATCCCTGTGTTCGGCATTACAAGTAGTTGTTATGGACTTACGCTTTGTTTTTATAAAAATATATTCGTGTAAAGTTATTACTGACAATAAATGGTGTCTTTGGTCCAAATAATAGGGAGATTTGGAAGGGCACCGATTATGTTAAAGGTTGCCTCTTAATGTCATGACATATGGGTTACTAGTTTCCCTACTTGGACAACATTTGTAACTAAAATGATGTTTAGAGTAATCGCATTTCATGGCCAGATGCACAACTTAAGAGTACTGGTAATAGAAATAGTCGCAAATTTCATCCCCTGACATGGCCAGATACAGGCACTTCTCTAGGTTCCATAAGTTTAGTACCACGGGATTATGGTGTCTTTTAACCACACGAGCACATGTTGGTAATTGTTTCGCAGATGAAAATGATAGGACAAGGGGACAACTAATTTGTAATGTTAAGTGTAAGTTTTATACTGCAACAAATAGTCATAACGAAGAGTACAGAATGAGTTATAACCTGTTAGGTGTATGTTACAATATGTTACAACTAGTGATATTGTTTGGCTGCTTTTCGTCTTCCCTTCTTAAAACTAGTGATATTACAACTGTCGCGCCCCACTTTTTGAGACGTGTTGTGGTGTGTGAGTGTGTAGTATGTGTGTGAACGTGTACAAAATGAAAATAAAGGCCATGGGACTTGATAATGCGACGGTTTGGCCATATAAAGTTCAAAAAGGGTTTTTTGTATCAAAAACGGAGTCGCCACTTGGTATAGAGTTTAGGGTGTACCAAGTCACCCAAAAAGAAATTTTTTTTTTAAAGGAAAGATAGAAAGAAACCCCTTTTGAACGACTCCTAGTCCACGTAAACCAACGAAAAAGGTTCGGGGGTCACATTTGACGAAGGGGAAGGCAAGGATAAAAATCCAAGGCACCCCTTCGACCTAGCCAAGGCTAGTTGCGTGACTTAAACCAATTTTCCCTAATTTTTCTACCCAAGGTATGTATCGCGTGTAGGATATGACTATATGAATGCAAAAACCTAGACCTAGGGGGACATGGGGGAAATTTCTCTTCAAAGGTTGAGTGGTGCCAATCACATTAATTGTGAAGCCCACTAATGAGCCTTTGGAGAGGTCACACGTAATCCTAAATGACGTAAAAATGAATGGAGTGCATGCCATGTGAAAATGTAAGTTTATGTGAAGTGAGAAAAGTGGAGGTGTGCAAGTGTATTTACAAGGTAAAGTGGGTAAAGAATGATAATGTGAAAATAATATAAAGTGCATGTGTGCGAGTGATATGGTATAGAGTGTGCAAGTGAAGAAACATAAAGGTGCACGTGTGCAAAATGGGAGGAAAAATGAAAGTGTGATGTGAGAATGTAGAAAAAGAGAGAGAATATAAAGTAAATGTATGTGATCGTGAATGAAAAATGCATGAATCCTATAGGAATGCAAGCAAAACGGGTACGGGGACTCCTAACTTTGTGACTTGATTTTTCCTTTGATAGAGGGAATATAAGCGTGCTAAGGCTTAGAAAAAGCCACACTCGTCTATATCCCATATTTAAGGGGACTCTTCAGGCAAATGTACCCTAACTAGCATGAGATGCAAGACCTAAAGTGAGGGGAAAGGGGAATCGAGGAGCATGCCAGATGATAAAACTAAGGAAAAATGCATGATATGTCGTGAACGGGGAAATAATGCATTAATGAAAAATAAAGGAAAAATCCTATTGGGTCTAGCGTTGGACTAGCCCTTTCTATGAATTCCTACTAGCATTATACTAGTGGAAACGATAAAAGAAGCCACAACTAGCGTTGGACTAGTGTGGTGACGTACATTCATCCATTCCATTCATCCACACTATAAAAAGCGAGTAAACATGCAAATCACTTATAAACACGTAGCACATAACACTTAGCATGCTCGATTAGATGCAAGAGCCTAATAAAGCACTTAAACATGTAGCAACAAAAGCAAGCAACCAAGGGGAAGGGGAAATGGACCAGATGCTCTCCGAGCCCTATCTATTACAAGCCAAGAGGTGTACACATACTCCATAATGAATAACTTAAATAAAAAGCAAAAGTGAATGAAATAAATGAAAGGAATTAAAGAAAGGCAACAAAAGGGGAAGGGGAAATGGACCAAATTGCTCGCCAAGCCCTATCTATTACAAGCCAAGAGGTGTACACATACCCCATAATGAATAAATTAATAAAAGCGAAAGTAAATGAAATATATGAAAGGAATTAAAGAAAAGCAAGGAAAGCGAAGTAGACATGCATATTCACATAACACGTAGGAGCACATAGAGTCAAATGAAGTGCAAATAAAGGGGTAGAGTGTACCTCCCTTGAAATTGGGCCCCAATGAAGTGAAATCACTTATTTATCCTCCAAAATAAAAAAATGGTCAAGGTACCAATTTATTTGGGAAATTTAAAGAAAATAGGCAAACACAAGCTCATTGGTCATAAAGCCCCTAAAGTCATGAATTAAATGCAATTGAAACAACACATAGTAATTACTTAAAGCGAACAAACAATGAAGTTGTAGAATTAAAATTGTCAAGGACCAAATTGAGGAAATTATTCAATTGTTGGGTCATAGTGAAACAAAGGAGGACTTGGAGGATCAAAGTGCAATTTTCAGCAACTATTTCATGCAAAACTCATGCAAGCTACGTAGACAAGAAAACTTCTGCAACTACTTTCTATTTAAACTTCCATTAACCGAGAAAGAAAACTGCTGCACTTGTCATTGCCATTTCCAAGCTTTGATCAAAAAACATTTCATCTAAGCATAACCATTTCATCATTGCAGGATTAAGACAGCAACTCTTATTGCAGGATTAAAACCAGAAGTGAAGCTAGCCATTAAGGGTAAAAGACTAAACAACAAGACAGCAGTAGAAAAAGGAGAAAAGGCTGCAGGTTCTGCAATATTTCTTTAGGCTTTGAAGCTTTTATGCAAGAGGGAAGAAGATTGCTGCAATCAAACAAACTTGCTGCAATTTACGTTTCCAAATGCAGCTTTCTTAATCACAACTGAGATATATATTTCAAAAACCAAACCTACAACCTTAGACCTAGCAAAACACATGACCACCACTACAAAAACAAGTGGAAGACTTAGGACAAGATTATGCAAAAATTCTGGAAAATATACAAGGGTGGTTCAGCAATTTGGTTGTTCATTTTGCAGCAAAGCATTGGAACATGATTTAACATTTCAGCCCCTAAACATACACACTCAACACTCCCTAATCCAAACCTTTTCAAACAACACTCAAACACCCCAAACATGCAAACCCAGCTAGCAAAAATGGATGGCCGAAACTTTAATTAAGAAACGCAGGTAAAGGAAAACAGCCAGGCGTGAGATGCAGCAAAAGAGAAAGGCGAAGCTTGCGGCAATATTCATCCAGAATTTTTGCAACTTCAAGCTTTCAAATGCAGGTTTTTGAAACAGAGAATCAGAGATGATCATCAGGGATGCAAAACTAAAACAGAAATAGAAGGGAAAAGAAAGAAAATGCCGCAAACAACCAAATATTTTCAGCAAACAAACAAATCCAAACGCACAGCTTGTTCATCGCAATTCTGGTTCTAAACCCGAGCACCCAATTTCTGGTTTGAAACAAGGATCATCAAGAATGCAGAAACTCCAAAAATGCAGGAGCAATGAAACAAAGACAGGCCAAGAGGTCATGCTAAGTCTGTAAAATTTTGCAACCCTACGCCAAACAAACCCAGTCAACAGCAACAAGAGGCAAACTGCAACCTTGCTATGTTTTCAATCTCACCGAGCATCACACAAGTCAAGCAAACATGACAATCTCACTGTGAAACATAAACTCAAACCCAAGCTTAA